GGGGCTGGGCCTCGGCGCCGCTACACCCCGGACTGGCAGAGCCTGGACGCGCGGCCGCTGCCGGCCTGGTTCGACGAGGCCAAGTTCGGGGTGTTCTTGCACTGGGGCGTGTTCTCGGTGCCGGCCTGGGGCAGCGAGTGGTTCTGGTGGCACTGGAAGGGCCAGGCGTCGCCGGCGTACCAGAAGTTCATGAGCGACAACTATCCGCCGGGCTTCAGCTACGCCGACTTCGGGCCGCAGTTCTCTGCGCGCTTCTTCGATGCCGACGGCTGGGCCGACCTCTTCCTGGCCGCGGGGGCCAAGTGAGTGGCCGCGGGGCGGGCCGAGTGTGGGGGAACCGCGCGAGGCCGGGCCTGCCCGGAGCACACCGCCGGCCGCCCGCCGCGAGACCTGCCGGCCTCGGTGTCTGGCTCCTGAACAAGAGTGCGAGTGGCTCGTGTGATCGCAGCAGGTGTGTCTGGCTGGGAACTGGACGGAAGTGAGGTTTCGGGGTGCGGCGCGCAGGCAGCCCCCATACCTATGCTGTGTGTCTGCACTTTACACAAGGCGTGGAGAGGACTGAGCTAGGGACACTTCGGTGTCTGCCGGGTACACAGACCTGCAGGAGTCCAGGGTTTCCAGCCCACGTTACACTCGGATTCTAGTTCAGTGAACTTGAACTTGAGACACTTGGCTTCCCGCACCCTCCTTCCAGGTTACAGAAAGCAATGGTCTTCTTCAGCGTCGGTGTCTCTGATCGGGAAGGGAGAGAGAAATGCTGTGTAGCTGGGCCTCGGTCATCTGCTGTCCTCCGTGCCTTGCACATGGGAAGTGGTCAGATGTTTTGACAGTTGGAACATGCGGGTAGACCGTTCAGAAAACGGAAAGCCGGGGCTGGGGGGTGGGGTGGGGTGGAGAGTGGAGACAGTGAGAGACCCCTGAGGTTTTTGGAGTCTGGGGCCAGTCCTGAAGGAGTAATCCTTGGGGACGGTGTTTGCTAAGTGTTAGGACAGGGTTACCCTGTCTGTGGGTTGGAGGAAGAGTGAGAATGGAGGTTTCCCGGCTCCTGGCTTAGAGCAGTTTTCCAACCTTGCCTTGTCTTATCAGTGGCCTTCTAGGTTTTAGGTTCTGGTACACCAAAGAGAATTTGCAACAGACATTTAGTGTTTGCCATTAAATATATAGGAACATGATGTAGCTGTCTCTGTCTTCTAGGAGCCTTAGAGAACCATAATTTACAAATGATAAAAAATTAAAGTCTAGGTGACAGCCCTTTGTCCAGCCCTCTTGTTTTATGGACAGGATGATGACTGGGAGGAATCTAATGCCCGAGGCCCCAGTTTCATGAATCCCAGCTTAAAGCTCAGTCCAGCACACCAGGGCCTGCAAACCATGGCCAGAGGGCCTGGTGGTCTGCCTGTTTTTTGTAAGCTCCATGAGATAAAAAATGATTTTTACTTTTCAAAGTGTTTAGGAAAAAAAAATTCCACGGTGGGGAGCATGGCCCACAAAGATGCTATCTGGCTCTTATTCTCTAAGTTCCCCACACCAGCTCGATTAAAATTATTGCATTGCCAGGCAGTGTCAATTTTTCTGCCCCAAAAGTAAATGAAATGTTGAGTGATTTGGTTATTTCAACACTTGCCCACTTCTTTGGGTCTTGTTTCACTTCTGTAAATGAGAGGCAATATCCATGGACTTGGTAAAACAATTTATTTTCCTTTTTTTAAAAAAAAAGATTTATTTATTTATTTATGTGTATAAGAACTGGGGTACTGGCCAGACAGAAGAGTGAGGGAGTGAGAGGGTTCACCAGAGACAGAGTGGGGAGCCAACCAGCTAGATGTACTGAAATACACTGCTGAGTGGAGCAGTGGTCGGTTCAGGAGAGGCCTGCCACCCATGTGGGTCATATCCCTGGCCGGGGATTGAACTCATGCTGCAGTGGCTGTGGATCGCTTGATAGTGCTGTGCTTTAACCACTAGGAAGGGCCCAACAATTTATTTTTCTACTGCTATTCCAACAGAGATTTCTTTTGCCTTTAGGGCAAAGGGTTTAAAAGGAAAAGCTAATTATTAGTACCGAGAAGATTTGAAAGACAGGATTCTTTCTGCTGGCCCATTCCTTCCTTCCCTCTGGGCCTCCTCCTTCTTGGCAGGGGACTCTAGACTGGGGCTTCCTCAGGTTGCTTCCATTCCTGGAGCAGTACCCAGGGGGAGCTGTGACTGCAGCAGCTCATATTCAAGAGCACTTCTTATCGTCAAGTTCTCCAGCATTTAAAAAGTCTCTGGCCCGGGCCCTCCCTGGTGGCGCAGC